ATATGTTTTTGATGGACGATTTTTTTAGAGTTAGATAGTGCCTTTAGGCACGAGCATTAGCTAGTATATATATATAAATTAGAGGTTAGAGTGTTTGAGAAGTCTTTCCTCATCATTTCCAAATTAATAAGAATTGAGAATTTTTTAATTTAAAATCTAAGGCTCCCTTCAATTAGACGTTATCATGTGACATTTTGTAACTACTCCTCCATAATTAACCATTAATTTTTAAATTTTATTAAAAAATTCACTTTTATCGCCAAATTAGGTCAATATTTTAAGTCTAAGTAGTATTGCTCAAAAAAATAAAAAAATTATTTATTATTCCGTGCATCTGATGGACAGACCTAAATCACATAAAACAAGAGCAGAAGAAAGAGTGGGAGTACGGGAGTGAAAACACCTTAAGAAAGTCATATTACAAACATTCATCCATAAAATTTATTAAAAATTAACTTTAATCTAAAACTATGTGGGAAATAGCATTACTCTTTTAAATATATATTGATTATAAGATCATAAAATTGTAATTATGGATTATAAATATCATTTTAGTTGGATATGTATTGTTATGTATGAATCAATACATCTATATTACTTATAAATATCAGCATTTATGAAAAATTTTTAATTTTTTATTTTATCTCTAATTATTATAATAAAGTCAATTATACCCACCTATATAATTATCTAATTTTTTTCTACACCTAGTTGACTTTTAATTTATTTTAGACTATTTAATATGAATTTCTAAATTCTTTTGAACTCATTTATTAGTAGTATAGTTACATACAATTATATATATTATATATCAAGAAGTAAAGTCTTATATATATATTAAATTATTATACACATATAGTTAGGTTAAATCATACGGTCAAGTATATGTTATATTTTATTTTTTGGTATGCAATAATATAATAATATTTTAAGGGATTTAATCAATCTATTTAACAAAATAAAAGTTAATAATTCTATAATATGATCAGATGTGTAAATGCCTAAATATGTTAGAGAGATACCTAAAAAAATTGACATATTAGGTACTGAAAAACTTATACAATAAATTAATAATTAAATTTAACAATAATTAAATATTAATGAATTATTTGACACCTAATTTATTATTTAATTTAATTATACATATAATTCTCATATTTTATAAAAATAATATTATTTAATTATACATATAAAATCGTGCATTGCTAGTTTTAAATAAACTTTTAAATATCAATGAATTCTATAATATAAAACAGGACATACTTCAATAAGTCAATTCGAGGGTTTCAAATAAACTCATCTAACGGCTACCAAAATCTCTTAAAACTATTCAAATTACATCGTGCCTTCAGGCACAAACTTTCCTAAATTGGCGCCAATTGAAAAACGTTTGTGTTTCTATGTTTTCTATATTACCTAACATCGCGACATTCTTGGAATGTGGATCAATATTGTGGAAAGTTTCTCCACAAAACGAGCCTGAGTTACAGGTATTTACTCCCTCCTCAGTGACTACTGGAATGTTAAGATTAGGGTTTTGTATTTTGGGCGTAATTTCATATACCAATAAGATGATTGATTGGAGAGGACTTGTGTTGTCATTAGCTTTGTTGGAATCGTGGATATTAGGTGTTTATTTAATTGACTGTGTGAAAGGACGTGGAATTGTGTTGTTTCATGTTTGGGGGAAAGTATACTATCCTTGATAAATGGTGATACGGAGTTTTAAATTGAATGAAAAAATGAATGAAATAGGCACTTTTTCTATTAAACGAGCAAATTATTTTGCCAACTACTAGAGAATAAGGTTAGATCGGTCGGAGGCACTTCGATACTTAAGTCCGTAATTACTCTAACAGTAAATAAACAATGTGTACCTTTGATTCAACCATTGCATCGTAATTATAATGCCGGATGTCACCTTTCTACTAGGGTTTATATTATTTCGCTATGCTATGTGGCGCACCTATATTTAAGACAGATTCTTCTTTATTTGAGCCCTGATTTTCTTTGGCTTACTCTCTCTCAGGGGCGGATCCAAGATTTTATCCTGGGAGGTATAGTATCGTAGTTAGATTTTAATTTTGCTTAAATTGTTACATTTGAGACTAAAACAGTTCACAAAACTATTTTGAACACTTAGGGGTGCAATGTGTTTAAATCAAATAACTGAGGGGTAAGGCAAAATCAAGATTCCAACTTAAATATATAAAATATAATTTTGGTAACTTAAGGCGCCATGTAAAGTGAAAAACAAAATTTTTGGTTGAAGTATAATTTTTCAAATTGAGATGACCAATTTTAGAGGTATAACGTATAATTTTAGAAAGTTGAAAAAGGGCACAAAGGGGGGCGCATAGGCCAAAGCTTGACTCTTATAACTGCTCTCTCCAATTCTTTAGGCTACGTGCTCCCACGATTTTGGCAGCCCTTATCCTAATGTTATACTGATCAAATTTAGAATTTAAATGACATAACAGTTGACTTGAATTTTTTTATTTGGTACCATCTTATTTGGACCCCAATAAAAACTTTAAATAATATATTGTCATATCATTTAACTCTAAATTTAATGTTAAAATTTAGTGAGCATAACATTATTACTTCCTTATTAGTTTGTTGGGACCTTTGATTTCTTGATGTTGCCATGCTGTCATCTTTAGGCAGGTTTTGAAAAACCCCCTAACCGCCACCTTTGCTCGGTCTGGTAGCTCGATTCAGTTAGCTGTTTCGACTTTATAGTCTGAATATTTTGATTGATTGCTCGGTTCTTTTTAGCGAGCATTGAGGTTTTTTTGCTCAGTCCTTAGATTCCTTGCTTCGGTTAACTCATCCTCACTTGAGCTTTTGTCACGTGTCTTTTCCATGTGACTGCATTAACAAACCAATCATGCACAACTGTTTTACGTCTCTAAAATTGATAATAATTTTTATGATTATTCAGTTTTGAGAAAGGTTTAATATTTCATGGATTTTTTTGAGGAATTTTGATACATTTAGCGTCAAAGTTTCTTGATTTTTACATCCTTCGGTGTATTCAATATTTGTTTAAGTAAGTGGTATTGCATCGCCTAATTGGTGGTTTTAGTAGCTGTTAGTGAATTTTTAATGTGGTGGCGTATTCATTAGTTTTGAGTGACTATAAAAACGGATGGGTTGTACTCGGTAGTAGCCTATAAAATCAATACACGTGTGCTTGCTGCAAAGTGACACATTGCAAGATTAAAGAGGGTTCACAAGCTGACGTGGTAGGATAGTGTCCCCTCATGTAGCAAAGACCGTGGTAAGTGGTTGGTGACCGCGGAAGGTGCCCGGCGCCGCGAAGGAATGAGGCTGACCCTCCTCACTGCAAACGTGACAAACGGATCCTTACCCAAAAAGGGCAAAAGTAAAGACTGAGGACAATCTTGGCCCGATTTGGCTAGTCCGCCTTCCCACCGCGGAAGTAAAGACATATAGCTGGGATCCTATGAATAGCAAAAACTACATTCCTAGCAAATCCTTAAAGGGGTACTCCCTCAGAGAGAACCTAAACCTATTGGATGCCCACACTGGCAAAGTTAATTAAGGGTATACCGTTGCTCAACTCGCCCAAGGGATCGAGAGGAGAGGTTCTTGCCTTTGGATAAGGAAATATGACCTTCTGAAGTAGGACGTCAAAGGTTTAGTCTACCTAGATAAGTCTCTAGTATATGGCTCATTGTCCACTGTATTTGCACTTGATTGGGATTTGGAGGGCTCCCAAGGTAGAAAGAGTTAATGGACATATGAGATGATAAGACATATGAATTGATAACTAAAAGACCGAAATTATATAAGGATCCTTGATTGGACACCTTGGTAGAGGATTTGGGATGGGGGTTCTGAAGGGAAAGAAGACTTCACGGTACCCGGTGCACCGTGAACAAGACCTTCTTGCGGTGACCTAGTTGTTACCCTTTACCTCGAGTGTTCTCCTTTGCCTCGAGGAGTGTACCCCTTCCTCGAAGGTCAAACCCAAGTTGTATTCAAGAAAATGTCGCATTTGTCAAATTAATGCTCGAAACACTTGACACATAATGTGCGATACTTCATACAAATGTGGTTGAGATAGTTACCTATGTAGGCACAACTATTGCGTACGGAGTTGACTCTTGTATAGAGGCAAGGGCGGGAAGCCCGTAGGACAACCTCAGCTGCTCGAGTATTTGTACTATAAATACCTTCAATACTTATCCCTACAGTACACACAACTACCTTGTCTAAGATAGACTATTCGGCTGGTGGGAGAATCTTCATTGACTCCACCTATCCAAGAAACTTTTGCAGAAAAATTAGTCCCAACAATTTATAGGCAGCTCGAGTCTTTTCATCCCATTCATTTTATCCCACTCATCCCTTTGAGAACATTAACAACCTATTTAACTTCTCACCTACGTACTCCCAAGTTGTTTCTACTCAACTCAACAATGCTTTATCCTTATTTTTCAAAGATGATATGTCCAATTGCAAAGCAAACCCCATCAATATGGTTTTCCTATTTGCAGTTCCTAAAGGTTCTACAAGACCCTGAAAATTTAAAAGAATATCTTCAGAGGCACCTAATTATATTTTTACAGACTTGGAGAAGTTTTTCTCCCCATTATTTTTTTCTTAGAATTTTTATTTATGTGATTACCAATCACAGTCTACCACATGAACCATGTAACCATCCCCCCACCCCAACTATTAAGTATCACTCATTTAATTGTTCTAAAGAATATCACCCTATAATTTACTATGATTTTTATTCAATATCCCAAGTAATTAGATAGCAAATGTAGAAGAATTCAAGAGGGTTGCAAATTCCGTTCGTCGCATGGTTGTGCCTGTAGTATGTAATTAGTTATGCTTGTGTATTTGAAAGATATAGGATGAGAGGAAGATGGGATATAATACCGGTATCAAGTGTTAGTTTTACATTTTTATTAGTAGCCCAGGACTAATGCTAAATAATTTACAAGAAATAATGAAGAATTCCACTAGGTTTCCTCACCTTGTTTTTGAATACTCATTAGGCCTTTTGTCAACCAAATAGCTGTTTCTCTTGATGAAACGGCTTCTTCCCCAAATGGTCTCAGTACACCTGCAAGTTCCTCTAGCCTTTCTCGTCTAAGTAGTTGTGCACAAAGTTCAAGTAGTGACTCCAGAGCTTCTGATCTTTGTTGTCCCAGGGTATCCCATGCAATTCTATTATTGCTTCCATGCGGCACAGCTAGTGGACTCGTTGTAGAAGTGTCACTAGATGTTTGATTAAATTCCAGAGATTCTCCTTTTCCTGTAAGCTTGGAGGGGTGAAGATCATCTGCTTTTGCTCCTAATTCATATCCACAAGAAAGTGTCACTGTACTTTTCGTGTTTCCAGTGGAAGCAATATCTGGATTTGAATTAGGGATCCCTCTTGGGTGNCTTTTTGGTTTTGCTTTGGTTCTAAGTACACATGTTGTTCGATTAAAGTTTTTGGATAGTTTAATTTTTTTAGAAACCCAAACTTTTTACAAAGTGATCCTAAATCATGTGTTTGACCATATTGAATGAGTTTTTTAAATCTTTCTAGAGAAAAATAAGTAAACATGGAGTCTTCAGAAGAAAAAAATTCTGTTTCTGTTTGTNACAGTTGACTTGAATTTTTTTATTTGGTACCATCTTATTTGGACCCCAATAAAAACTTTAAATAATATATTGTCATATCATTTAACTCTAAATTTAATGTTAAAATTTAGTGAGCATAACATTATTACTTCCTTATTAGTTTGTTGGGACCTTTGNATAGTTGACTTGAATTTTTTTATTTGATACCATCTTATTTGGGCCCCAATAAAAATTTCAAATAATATATTGTCATATCATTTAACTCTAAATTTAATCTTAAAATTTAGTGAGCATAACATTATTACTTCCTTATTAGTTTGTTGGGACCTTTGATTTCTTGATGTTGCCATGCTGTCATCTTTAGGCAGGTTTTGAAAAACCCCCTAACCGCCACCTTTGCTCGGTCTGGTAGCTCGATTCAGTTAGCTGTTTCGACTTTATAGTCTGAATATTTTGATTGATTGCTCGGTTCTTTTTAGCGAGCATTGAGGTTTTTTTGCTCAGTCCTTAGATTCCTTGCTTCGGTTAACTCATCCTCACTTGAGCTTTTGTCACGTGTCTTTTCCATGTGACTGCATTAACAAACCAATCATGCACAGCTGTTTTACGTCTCTAAAATTGATAATAATTTTTATGATTATTCAGTTTTGAGAAAGGTTTAATATTTCATGGATTTTTTTGAGGAATTTTGATACATTTAACGTCAAAGTTTCTTGATTTTTACATCCTTCGGTGTATTCAATATTTGTTTAAGTAAGTGGTATTGCATCGCCTAATTGGTGGTTTTAGTAGCTGTTAGTGAATTTTTAATGTGGTGGCGTATTCATTAGTTTTGAGTGACTATAAAAACGGATGGGTTGTACTCGGTAGTAGCCTATAAAATCAATACACGTGTGCTTGCTGCAAAGTGACACATTGCAACATTAAAGAGGGTTCACAAGCTGACGTGGTAGGATAGTGTCCCCTCATGTAGCAAAGACCGTGGTAAGTGGTTGGTGACCGCGGAANGCTTAAAAGGAATATTCTTGGGCTTTGCTAAGCTTTTTTAGTCCTAAGAAGTCTTGCAACTAATCAATAGTCTCTAATAAGAACGGTGGGTATTACCGCATTAGTCCTAATAAGTCTCTCAGCAAATCAATAGTCTCTTTTTATAAATTTCACAGCTAAGATCTGCTGTGGTTGTTCCTTCAATTTTATCAATGCAATTTTGCTATAGTGTGTTGAGTTTTCACTGGTATTTTGTTAACTTCTTGTTGTTGTTGTTTGCTTAAGTAACTATATGATATAAATGTTTACATAAGATCTTCATGCTTGAAGAGTGTGTTAGGTTGTTATTTTATCAGATTTAAGATTGGTGATGGCAGTTTGATTTGATTTGGGTTTCACAGCTTTCAAGGATTTGTTGATTTTGTTCTCTTTCACTTTTTTGAATTTTTTCATGTGAGACATTCTCTGAGATTTTGGGCACTGTACTATGTGGCACTAGAGGTTTTGAAGCGGATTTAGGAGCAAGAAGGATGATGTATTTAGAGTGTTGGTGTGATCCTTTTTATTTTGTTTTGTGACCTTTCACCATTTTTGGGCATGTCTTGTTCTTTGCTACTGGTCTGTTTCAGTTTCTGTAAAATACTCTTTTTGGTTTTGCTTTGGTTCTAAGTACACATGTTGTTCGATTAAAGTTTTTGGATAGTTTAATTTTTTTAGAAACCCAAACTTCTTACAAAGTGATCCTAAATCATGTGTTTGACCATATTGAATGAGTTTTTTAAATCTTTCTTGAGAAAAATAAGTAAACATGGAGTCTTCAGAAGAAAAAAATTCTGTTTCTGTTTGTTTTGTTGCTACTAAAATTAATGGTTTCCTATTTTTGTGGAGGATAGGAGGAGGAGAAATGAGTGGTGTAGGTGATAACAGGGAGTGTTCTCTCTCTCCCACTCGGTTTCACCCTCTTGCCATCCTTAAAATCCCACTTCCTCCACACCACACCGCACTATGCCACACCAGTGACCAGTGATATTCTTCTCTTTGTGGGTTTGTTAATTGATGTCTGTGAGTTTTTTAGTTACTGTTTTAGTGGGTTTCTATAAGTTCTATGGGTTTTTTTAATATTTTTTCTATTGAATTTTGTATGCTTATTATACTTTTTACTAATGACATATGAAGTTATTTGCTTATACATATTTTTATTCTGTGTGGGTTTTGTTGATTGAATTTATTACTGATTTTGTTATTTTTAGATCTCAAAAAGTATACTACCATGTCACACCTCTGTCCAGAGAAATGCCACCGCCATCTATTAAGCAGTTTAGTTTTACGTAAGTCTTCGTGGCATGTTGGGTTATTGCTTTATCAGGCTTTTGATTGGTGATGGAAGATGTTGACCATGAGTGGCTCATTGCGGATGAGCATATACCCCCCTACTAACTTGCAATGAAGGATAAGAAATTTGGATAAAGTTACCCATGTTATTGACAGATTAGAGTTTTTTTTCGATACTGTAATGGTGGATGAATCTAGCTAGATGGAATTTAGATTACTCAATATTGTAAAGATATGAATCCCTTTGGATACTTTGATATTAACTATGATCTTAGTTTTCTGTTGGGAGTCATTTGTGTAGTTATTTTTATTGCATGAAACTATATGTTTATTGGTAGTTGGCTACTAAGTATTTTTTTTTTTCCATTGCTTTGCATTGGATGGTTGGAGTAAATTTATGTCATAAGTTAAAAATTTAAGTTCATGAAATTTTTATCTTGTTTATTTGTAAAATATCAGTTATTGTAAACTAAACAGAGTACATATGTTTTTGATTGACGATTTTTTTAGAGTTAGATAGTGCCTTTAGGCACGAGCATTAGCTAGTATATATATATAAATTAGAGGTTAGAGTGTTTGAGAAGTCTTTCCTCATCATTTCCAAATTAATAAGAATTGAGAATTTTTTAATTTAAAATCTAAGGCTCCCTTCAATTAGACGTTATCATGTGACATTTTGTAACTACTCCTCCATAATTAACCATTAATTTTTAAATTTTATTAAAAAAATCACTTTTATCGTCAAATTAGGTCAATATTTTAAGTCTAAGTAGTATTGCTCAAAAAAATAAAAAAATTATTTATTATTCTGAACATCTGATGGACAGACCTAAATCACATAACAACGAGAGCAGAAGAAAGAGTGGCAGTACGGGAGTGAAAACACCTTAAGAAAGTCATATTACAAACATTCATCCATAAAATTTATTAAAAATTAACTTTAATCTAAAACTATGTGGGAAATAGCATTACTCTTTTAAATATATATTGATTATAAGATCATAAAATTGTAATTATGGATTATAAATATCATTTTAGTTGGATATGTATTGTTATGTATGAATCAATACATCTATATTACTTATAAATATCAGCATTTATGAAATTTTTTTTATTTTTTATTTTATCTCTAATTATTATAATAAAGTCAATTATACCCACCTATATAATTATATAATTTTTTTTCTACACCTAGTTGACTTTAAACTTATTTTAGACTCTTTTATATGAATTTCTAAATTCTTTTGAACTCATTTATTAGTAGTATAGTTACATACAATTATCTATATTATATATCAAGAAGTAAAGTCCTATATATATATATTAAATTATTATGCACATATAGTTAGGTTAAATCATACGGTCAAGTATATGTTATATTTTATTTTTTGGTATGCAATAATATAATAATATTTCAAGGGATTTAATCAATCTATTTAACAAAATAAAAGTTAATAATTCTATAATATGATCAGATGTGTAAATGCCTAAATATGTTAGAGAGATACCTAAAAAAATTGACATATTAGGTACTGAAAAACTTATACAATAAATTAATAATTAAATTTAACAATAATTAAATATTAATGAATTATTTGACACCTAATTTATTATTTAATTTAATTATACATATAATTCTCATATTTTATAAAAATAATATCATTGCTAATTTTATAAAAATAATATTATTTAATTATACATATAAAATCGTGCATTGCTAGTTTTAAATAAAATTTTAAATATCAATAAATTCTATAATATAAAACAGGACATACTTCAATAAGTCAATTCGAGGGTTTCAAATAGACTCATCTAACGGCTACCAAAATCTCTTAAAACTATTCAAATTACACCATGCCTTCAGGCACAAACTTTCCTAAATTGGCGCCAATTGAAAAACGTTTGTGTTTCTATGTTTTCTATATTACCTAACACCACGACATTCTTGGAATGTGGATCAATATTGTGGAAAGTTTCTCCACAAAACGAGCCTGAGTTACAAGTATTTACTCCCTCCTCAGTGACTACTGGAATGTTAAGATTAGGGTTTTGTATTTTGGGCGTAATTTCATATACCAATAAGATGATTGATTGGAGAGGACTTGTGTTGTCATTAGCTTTGTTGGAATCGTGGATATTAGGTGTTTATTTAATTGACTGTGTGAAAGGACGTGGAATTGTGTTGTTTCATGTTTGGGGGAAAGTATACTATCCTTGATAAATGGTGATACGGAGTTTTAAATTGAATGAAAAAATGAATGAAATAGGCACTTTTTCTATTAAACGAGCAAATTATTTTGCCAACTACTAGAGAATAAGGTTAGATCGGTCGGAGGCACTTCGATACTTAAGTCCGTAATTACTCTAACAGTAAATAAACAATGTGTACCTTTGATTCAACCATTGCATCGTAATTATAATGCCGGATGGCACCTTTCTACTAGGGTTTATATTATTTCGCTATGCTATGTGGCGCACCTATATTTAAGACAGATTCTTCTTTATTTGAGCCCTGATTTTCTTTGGCTTACTCTCTCTCAGGGGCGGATCCAAGATTTTATCCTGGGAGGTATAGTATCGTAGTTAGATTTTAATTTTGCTTAAATTGTTACATTTGAGACTAAAACAGTTCACAAAACTATTTTGAACACTTAGGGGTGCAATGTGTTTAAATCAAATAACTGAGGGGTAAGGCAAAATCAAGATTCCAACTTAAATATATAAAATATAATTTTGGTAACTTAAGGCGCCATGTAAAGTGAAAAACAAAATTTTTGGTTGAAGTATAATTTTTCAAATTGAGATGACCAATTTTAGAGGTATAACGTATAATTTTAGAAAGTTGAAAAAGGGCACAAAGGGGGGCGCATAGGCCAAAGCTTGACTCTTATAACTGCTCTCTCCAATTCTTTAGGCTACGTGCTCCCACGATTTTGGCAGCCCTTATCCTAATGTTATACTGATCAAATTTAGAATTTAAATGACATAACAGTTGACTTGAATTTTTTTATTTGGTACCATCTTATTTGGACCCCAATAAAAACTTTAAATAATATATTGTCATATCATTTAACTCTAAATTTAATGTTAAAATTTAGTGAGCATAACATTATTACTTCCTTATTAGTTTGTTGGGACCTTTGATTTCTTGATGTTGCCATGCTGTCATCTTTAGGCAGGTTTTGAAAAACCCCCTAACCGCCACCTTTGCTCGGTCTGGTAGCTCGATTCAGTTAGCTGTTTCGACTTTATAGTCTGAATATTTTGATTGATTGCTCGGTTCTTTTTAGCGAGCATTGAGGTTTTTTTGCTCAGTCCTTAGATTCCTTGCTTCGGTTAACTCATCCTCACTTGAGCTTTTGTCACGTGTCTTTTCCATGTGACTGCATTAACAAACCAATCATGCACAACTGTTTTACGTCTCTAAAATTGATAATAATTTTTATGATTATTCAGTTTTGAGAAAGGTTTAATATTTCATGGATTTTTTTGAGGAATTTTCATACATTTAACGTCAAAGTTTCTTGATTTTTACATCCTTCGGTGTATTCAATATTTGTTTAAGTAAGTGGTATTGCATCGCCTAATTGGTGGTTTTAGTAGCTGTTAGTGAATTTTTAATGTGGTGGCGTATTCATTAGTTTTGAGTGACTATAAAAACGGATGGGTTGTACTCGGTAGTAGCCTATAAAATCAATACACGTGTGCTTGCTGCAAAGTGACACATTGCAACATTAAAGAGGGTTCACAAGCTGACGTGGTAGGATAGTGTCCCCTCATGTAGCAAAGACCGTGGTAAGTGGTTGGTGACCGCGGAAGGTGCCCGGCGCCGCGAAGGAATGAGGCTGACCCTCCTCACTGCAAACGTGACAAACGGATCCTTACCCAAAAAGGGCAAAAGTAAAGACTGAGGACAATCTTGGCCCGATTTGGCTAGTCCGCCTTCCCACCGCGGAAGTAAAGACATATAGCTGGGATCCTATGAATAGCAAAAACTACATTCCTAGCAAATCCTTAAAGGGGTACTCCCTCAGAGAGAACCTAAACCTATTGGATGCCCACACTGGCAAAGTTAATTAAGGGTATACCGTTGCTCAACTCGCCCAAGGGATCGAGAGGAGAGGTTCTTGCCTTTGGATAAGGAAATACGACCTTCTGAAGTAGGACGTCAAATGTTTAGTCTACCCAGATAAGCCTCTAGTATATGGCTCATTGTCCACTGTGTAGGACGTCAAATGTTTAGTCTACCCAGATAAGCCTCTAGTATATGGCTCATTGTCCACTGTATTTGCACTTGATTGGGATTTGGAGGGCTCCCAAGGTAGAAAGAGTTAATGGACATATGAGATGATAAGACATATGAATTGATAACTAAAAGACCGAAATTATATAAGGATCCTTGATTGGACACCTTGGTAGAGGATTTGGGATGGGGGTTCTGAAGGGAAAGAAGACTTCACGGTACCCGGTGCACCGTGAACAAGACCTTCTTGCGGTGACCTAGTTGTTACCCTTTACCTCGAGTGTTCTCCTTTGCCTCGAGGAGTGTACCCCTTCCTCGAAGGTCAAACCCAAGTTGTATTCAAGAAAATGTCGCATTTGTCAAATTAATGCTCGAAACACTTGACACATAATGTGCGATACTTCATACAAATGTGGTTGAGATAGTTACCTATGTAGGCACAACTATTGCGTACGGAGTTGACTCTTGTATAGAGGCAAGGGCGGGAAGCCCGTAGGACAACCTCAGCTGCTCGAGTATTTGTACTATAAATACCTTCAATACTTATCCCTACAGTACACACAACTACCTTGTCTAAGATAGACTATTCGGCTGGTGGGAGAATCTTCATTGACTCCACCTATCCAAGAAACTTTTGCAGAAAAATTAGTCCCAACAATTTATAGGCAGCTCGAGTCTTTTCATCCCATTCATTTTATCCCACTCATCCCTTTGAGAACATTAACAACCTATTTAACTTCTCACCTACGTACTCCCAAGTTGTTTCTACTCAACTCAACAATGCTTTATCCTTATTTTTCAAAGATGATATGTCCAATTGCAAAGCAAACCCCATCAATATGGTTTTCCTATTTGCAGTTCCTAAAGGTTCTACAAGACCCTGAAAATTTAAAAGAATATCTTCAGAGGCACCTAATTATATTTTTACAGACTTGGAGAAGTTTTTCTCCCCATTATTTTTTTCTTAGAATTTTTATTTATGTGATTACCAATCACAGTCTACCACATGAACCATGTAACCATCCCTCCACCCCAATTATTAAGTATCACTCATTTAATTGTTCTAAAGAATATCACCCTATAATTTACTATGATTTTTATTCAATATCCCAAGTAATTAGATAGCAAATGTAGAAGAATTCAAGAGGGTTGCAAATTCCGTTCGTCGCATGGTTGTGCCTGTAGTATGTAATTAGTTATGCTTGTGTATTTGAAAGATATAGGATGAGAGGAAGATGGGATATAATACCGGTATCAAGTGTTAGTTTTACATTTTTATTAGTAGCCCAGGACTAATGCTAAATAATTTACAAGAAATAATGAAGAATTCCACTAGGTTTCCTCACCTTGTTTTTGAATACTCATTAGGCCTTTTGTCAACCAAATAGCTGTTTCTCTTGATGAAACGGCTTCTTCCCCAAATGGTCTTAGTACACCTGCAAGTTCCTCTAGCCTTTCTCGTCTAAGTAGTTGTGCACAAAGTTCAAGTAGTGACTCCAGAGCTTCTGATCTTTGTTGTCCCAGGGTATCCCATGCAATTCTATTATTGCTTCCATGCGGCACAGCTAGTGGACTCGTTGTAGAAGTGTCACTAGATGTTTGATTAAATTCCAGAGATTCTCCTTTTCCTGTAAGCTTGGAGGGGTGAAGATCATCTGCTTTTGCTCCTAATTCATATCCACAAGAAAGTGTCACTGTACTTTTCGTGTTTCCAGTGGAAGCAATATCTGGATTTGAATTAGGGATCCCTCTTGGGTGTGGAGAGAACAAGGGTACTGATTCATAATCATGTTTTATTTCTTTCTTAGCTTCCAGTGCCCGTCCATCTTCAAAAAGTCTGTTACTGTACATGGGAGATGCATTTTGCATTGCCACCCCCTTCCGATTCTCCTGATCGGAATTCTCAGCTACTGTGTCAGTATTATTAAAAACTTGCGCATGCTGGTAATGTTCAGGAGTGAGCTCTTTTTCATGTTCTATATCTTCTTCGTGATAAGTCAGCGAACTCCCCAAGGACGTTCCTGATTTAGCTTCTAATGACCCTTCANGTGGGAAATAGCATTACTCTTTTAAATATATATTGATTATAAGATCATAAAATTGTAATTATGGATTATAAATATCATTTTAGTTGGATATGTATTGTTATGTATGAATCAATACATCTATATTACTTATAAATATCAGCATTTATGAAATTTTTTTTATTTTTTATTTTATCTCTAATTATTATAATAAAGTCAATTATACCCACCTATATAATTATATAATTTTTTTTCTACACCTAGTTGACTTTAAACTTATTTTAGACTCTTTTATATGAATTTCTAAATTCTTTTGAACTCATTTATTAGTAGTATAGTTACATACAATTATCTATATTATATATCAAGAAGTAAAGTCCTATATATATATATTAAATTATTATGCACATATAGTTAGGTTAAATCATACGGTCAAGTATATGTTATATTTTATTTTTTGGTATGCAATAATATAATAATATTTCAAGGGATTTAATCAATCTATTTAACAAAATAAAAGTTAATAATTCTATAATATGATCAGATGTGTAAATGCCTAAATATGTTAGAGAGATACCTAAAAAAATTGACATATTAGGTACTGAAAAACTTATACAATAAATTAATAATTAAATTTAACAATAATTAAATATTAATGAATTATTTGACACCTAATTTATTATTTAATTTAATTATACATATAATTCTCATATTTTATAAAAATAATATCATTGCTAATTTTATAAAAATAATATTATTTAATTATACATATAAAATCGTGCATTGCTAGTTTTAAATAAAATTTTAAATATCAATAAATTCTATAATATAAAACAGGACATACTTCAATAAGTCAATTCGAGGGTTTCAAATAGACTCATCTAACGGCTACCAAAATCTCTTAAAACTATTCAAATTACACCATGCCTTCAGGCACAAACTTTCCTAAATTGGCGCCAATTGAAAAACGTTTGTGTTTCTATGTTTTCTATATTACCTAACACCACGACATTCTTGGAATGTGGATCAATATTGTGGAAAGTTTCTCCACAAAACGAGCCTGAGTTACAAGTATTTACTCCCTCCTCAGTGACTACTGGAATGTTAAGATTAGGGTTTTGTATTTTGGGCGTAATTTCATATACCAATAAGATGATTGATTGGAGAGGACTTGTGTTGTCATTAGCTTTGTTGGAATCGTGGATATTAGGTGTTTATTTAATTGACTGTGTGAAAGGACGTGGAATTGTGTTGTTTCATGTTTGGGGGAAAGTATACTATCCTTGATAAATGGTGATACGGAGTTTTAAATTGAATGAAAAAATGAATGAAATAGGCACTTTTTCTATTAAACGAGCAAATTATTTTGCCAACTACTAGAGAATAAGGTTAGATCGGTCGGAGGCACTTCGATACTTAAGTCCGTAATTACTCTAACAGTAAATAAACAATGTGTACCTTTGATTCAACCATTGCATCGTAATTATAATGCCGGATGGCACCTTTCTACTAGGGTTTATATTATTTCGCTATGCTATGTGGCGCACCTATATTTAAGACAGATTCTTCTTTATTTGAGCCCTGATTTTCTTTGGCTTACTCTCTCTCAGGGGCGGATCCAAGATTTTATCCTGGGAGGTATAGTATCGTAGTTAGATTTTAATTTTGCTTAAATTGTTACATTTGAGACTAAAACAGTTCACAAAACTATTTTGAACACTTAGGGGTGCAATGTGTTTAAATCAAATAACTGAGGGGTAAGGCAAAATCAAGATTCCAACTTAAATATATAAAATATAATTTTGGTAACTTAAGGCGCCATGTAAAGTGAAAAACAAAATTTTTGGTTGAAGTATAATTTTTCAAATTGAGATGACCAATTTTAGAGGTATAACGTATAATTTTAGAAAGTTGAAAAAGGGCACAAAGGGGGGCGCATAGGCCAAAGCTTGACTCTTATAACTGCTCTCTCCAATTCTTTAGGCTACGTGCTCCCACGATTTTGGCAGCCCTTATCCTAATGTTATACTGATCAAATTTAGAATTTAAATGACATAACAGTTGACTTGAATTTTTTTATTTGGTACCATCTTATTTGGACCCCAATAAAAACTTTAAATAATATATTGTCATATCATTTAACTCTAAATTTAATGTTAAAATTTAGTGAGCATAACATTATTACTTCCTTATTAGTTTGTTGGGACCTTTGATTTCTTGATGTTGCCATGCTGTCATCTTTAGGCAGGTTTTGAAAAACCCCCTAACCGCCACCTTTGCTCGGTCTGGTAGCTCGATTCAGTTAGCTGTTTCGACTTTATAGTCTGAATATTTTGATTGATTGCTCGGTTCTTTTTAGCGAGCATTGAGGTTTTTTTGCTCAGTCCTTAGATTCCTTGCTTCGGTTAACTCATCCTCACTTGAGCTTTTGTCACGTGTCTTTTCCATGTGACTGCATTAACAAACCAATCATGCACAGCTGTTTTACGTCTCTAAAATTGATAATAATTTTTATGATTATTCAGTTTTGAGAAAGGTTTAATATTTCATGGATTTTTTTGAGGAATTTTCATACATTTAACGTCAAAGTTTCTTGATTTTTACATCCTTCGGTGTATTCAATATTTGTTTAAGTAAGTGGTATTGCATCGCCTAATTGGTGGTTTTAGTAGCTGTTAGTGAATTTTTAATGTGGTGGCGTATTCATTAGTTTTGAGTGACTATAAAAACGGATGGGTTGTACTCGGTAGTAGCCTATAAAATCAATACACGTGTGCTTGCTGCAAAGTGACACATTGCAAGATTAAAGAGGGTTCACAAGCTGACGTGGTAGGATAGTGTCCCCTCATGTAGCAAAGACCGTGGTAAGTGGTTGGTGACCGCGGAAGGTGCCCGGCGCCGCGAAGGAATGAGGCTGACCCTCCTCACTGCAAACGTGACAAACGGATCCTTACCCAAAAAGGGCAAAAGTAAAGACTGAGGACAATCTTGGCCCGATTTGGCTAGTCCGCCTTCCCACCGCGGAAGTAAAGACATATAGCTGGGATCCTATGAATAGCAAAAACTACATTCCTAGCAAATCCTTAAAGGGGTACTCCCTCAGAGAGAACCTAAACCTATTGGATGCCCACACTGGCAAAGTTAATTAAGGGTATACCGTTGCTCAACTCGCCCAAGGGATCGAGAGGAGAGGTTNTTAATTATTTGACACCTAATTTATTATTTAATTTAATTATACATATAATTCTCATATTTTATAAAAATAATATCATTGCTAATTTTATAAAAATAATATTATTTAATTATACATATAAAATCGTGCATTGCTAGTTTTAAATAAAATTTTAAATATCAATAAATTCTATAATATAAAACAGGACATACTTCAATAAGTCAATTCGAGGGTTTCAAATAGACTCATCTAACGGCTACCAAAATCTCTTAAAACTATTCAAATTACACCATGCCTTCAGGCACAAACTTTCCTAAATTGGCGCCAATTGAAAAACGTTTGTGTTTCTGTGTTTTCTATATTACCTAACACCACGACATTCTTGGAATGTGGATCAATATTGTGGAAAGTTTCTCCACAAAACGCGCTTGAGTTACAAGTATTTACTCCCTCCTCAGTGACTACTGGAATGTTAAGATTAGGGTTTTGTATTTTGGGCGTAATTTCATATACCAATAAGATGATTGATTGGAGAGGACTTGTGTTGTCATTAGCTTTGTTGGAATCGTGGATATTAGGTGTTTATTTAATTGACTGTGTGAAAGGACGTGGAATTGTGTTGTTTCATGTTTGGGGGAAAGTATACTATCCTTGATAAATGGTGATACGGAGTTTTAAATTGAATGAAAAAATGAATGAAATAGGCACTTTTTCTATTAAACGAGCAAATTATTTTGCCAACTACTAGAGAATAAGGTTAGATCGGTCGGAGGCACTTCGATACTTAAGTCCGTAATTACTCTAACAGTAAATAAACAATGTGTACCTTTGATTCAACCATTGCATCGTAATTATAATGCCGGATGGCACCTTTCTACTAGGGTTTATATTATTTCGCTATGCTATGTGGCGCACCTATATTTAAGACAGATTCTTCTTTATTTGAGCCCTGATTTTCTTTGGCTTACTCTCTCTCAGGGGCGGATCCAAGATTTTATCCTGGGAGGTATAGTATCGTAGTTAGATTTTAATTTTGCTTAAATTGTTACATTTGAGACTAAAACAGTTCACAAAACTATTTTGAACACTTAGGGGTGCAATGTGTTTAAATCAAATAACTGAGGGGTAAGGCAAAATCAAGATTCCAACTTAAATATATAAAATATAATTTTGGTAACTTAAGGCGCCATGTAAAGTGAAAAACAAAATTTTTGGTTGAAGTATAATTTTTCAAATTGAGATGACCAATTTTAGAGGTATAACGTATAATTTTAGAAAGTTGAAAAAGGGCACAAAGGGGGGCGCATAGGCCAAAGCTTGACTCTTATAACTGCTCTCTCCAATTCTTTAGGCTACGTGCTCCCACGATTTTGGCAGCCCTTATCCTAATGTTATACTGATCAAATTTAGAATTTAAATGACATAATAGTTGACTTGAATTTTTTTATTTGNTATAATTTTTCAAATTGAGATGACCAATTTTAGAGGTATAACGTATAATTTTAGAAAGTTGAAAAAGGGCACAAAGGGGGGCGCATAGGCCAAAGCTTGACTCTTATAACTGCTCTCTCCAATTCTTTAGGCTACGTGCTCCCACGATTTTGGCAGCCCTTATCCTAATGTTATACTGATCAAATTTAGAATTTAAATGACATAACAGTTGACTTGAATTTTTTTATTTGGTACCATCTTATTTGGACCCCAATAAAAACTTTAAATAATATATTGTCATATCATTTAACTCTAAATTTAATGTTAAAATTTAGTGAGCATAACATTATTACTTCCTTATTAGTTTGTTGGGACCTTTGATTTCTTGATGTTGCCATGCTGTCATCTTTAGGCAGGTTTTGAAAAACCCCCTAACCGCCACCTTTGCTCGGTCTGGTAGCTCGATTCAGTTAGCTGTTTCGACTTTATAGTCTGAATATTTTGATTGATTGCTCGGTTCTTTTTAGCGAGCATTGAGGTTTTTTTGCTCAGTCCTTAGATTCCTTGCTTCGGTTAACTCATCCTCACTTGAGCTTTTGTCACGTGTCTTTTCCATGTGACTGCATTAACAAACCAATCATGCACAACTGTTTTACGTCTCTAAAATTGATAATAATTTTTATGATTATTCAGTTTTGAGAAAGGTTTAATATTTCATGGATTTTTTTGAGGAATTTTCATACATTTAACGTCAAAGTTTCTTGATTTTTACATCCTTCGGTGTATTCAATATTTGTTTAAGTAAGTGGTATTGCATCGCCTAATTGGTGGTTTTAGTAGCTGTTAGTGAATTTTTAATGTGGTGGCGTATTCATTAGTTTTGAGTGACTATAAAAACGGATGGGTTGTACTCGGTAGTAGCCTATAAAATCAATACACGTGTGCTTGCTGCAAAGTGACACATTGCAACATTAAAGAGGGTTCACAAGCTGACGTGGTAGGATAGTGTCCCCTCATGTAGCAAAGACCGTGGTAAGTGGTTGGTGACCGCGGAAGGTGCCCGGCGCCGCGAAGGAATGAGGCTGACCCTCCTCACTGCAAACGTGACAAACGGATCCTTACCCAAAAAGGGCAAAAGTAAAGACTGAGGACAATCTTGGCCCGATTTGGCTAGTCCGCCTTCCCACCGCGGAAGTAAAGACATATAGCTGGGATCCTATGAATAGCAAAAACTACATTCCTAGCAAATCCTTAAAGGGGTACTCCCTCAGAGAGAACCTAAACCTATTGGATGCCCACACTGGCAAAGTTAATTAAGGGTATACCGTTGCTCAACTCGCCCAAGGGATCGAGAGGAGAGGTTCTTGCCTTTGGATAAGGAAATACGACCTTCTGAAGTAGGACGTCAAATGTTTAGTCTACCCAGATAAGCCTCTAGTATATGGCTCATTGTNTCCTTGCCTTTGGATAAGGAAATATGACCTTCTGAAGTAGGACGTCAAAGGTTTAGTCTACCTAGATAAGTCTCTAGTATATGGCTCATTGTCCACTGTATTTGCACTTGATTGGGATTTGGAGGGCNTTTGATTGGTGATGGAAGATGTTGACCATGAGTGGCTCATTGCGGATGAGCATATACCCCCCTACTAACTTGCAATGAAGGATAAGAAATTTGGATAAAGTTACCCATGTTATTGACAGATTAGAGTTTTTTTTCGATACTGTAATGGTGGATGAATCTAGCTAGATGGAATTTAGATTACTCAATATTGTAAAGATATGAATCCCTTTGGATACTTTGATATTAACTATGATCTTAGTTTTCTGTTGGGAGTCATTTGTGTAGTTATTTTTATTGCATGAAACTATATGTTTATTGGTAGTTGGCTACTAAGTATTTTTTTTTTTCCATTGCTTTGCATTGGATGGTTGGAGTAAATTTATGTCATAAGTTAAAAATTTAAGTTCATGAAATTTTTATCTTGTTTATTTGTAAAATATCAGTTATTGTAAACTAAACAGAGTACATATGTTTTTGATTGACGATTTTTTTAGAGTTAGATAGTGCCTTTAGGTACGAGCGTTAACTAGTATATATATATATAAATTAGAGGTGAGAGTGTTTGAGAAGTCTTTCCTCATCATTTCCAAATTAATAAGAATTGAGAATTTTTTAATTTAAAATCTAAGGCTCCCTTCAATTAGACGTTATCATGTGACATTTTGTAACTACTCCTCCATAATTAACCATTAATTTTTAAATTTTATTAAAAAATTCACTTTTATCGCCAAATTAGGTCAATATTTTAAGTCTAAGTAGTATTGCTCAAAAAAATAAAAAAATTATTTATTATTCCGTGCATCTGATGGACAGACCTAAATCACATAAAACAAGAGCAGAAGAAAGAGTGGGAGTACGGGAGTGAAAACACCTTAAGAAAGTCATATTACAAACATTCATCCATAAAATTTATTAAAAATTAACTTTAATCTAAAACTATGCGGGAAATTGCATTACTCTTTTAAATATATATTGATTATAAGATCATAAAATTGTAATTATGGATTATAAATATCATTTTAGTTGGATTTGTATTGTTATGTATGAATCAATACATCTATATTACTTATAAATATCAGCATTTATGAAAAATTTTTAATTTTTTATTTTATCTCTAATTATTATAATAAAGTCAATTATACCCACCTATATAATTATCTAATTTTTTTCTACACCTAGTTGACTTTTAATTTATTTTAGACTATTTAATATGAATTTCTAAATTCTTTTGAACTCATTTATTAGTAGTATAGTTACATACAATTATATATATTATATATCAAGAAGTAAAGTCTTATATATATATTAAATTATTATACACATATAGTTAGGTTAAATCATACGGTCAAGTATATGTTATATTTTATTTTTTGGTATGCAATAATATAATAATATTTTAAGGGATTTAATCAATCTATTTAACAAAATAAAAGTTAATAATTCTATAATATGATCAGATGTGTAAATGCCTAAATATGTTAGAGAGATACCTAAAAAAATTGACATATTAGGTACTGAAAAACTTATACAATAAATTAATAATTAAATTTAACAATAATTAAATATTAATGAATTATTTGACACCTAATTTATTATTTAATTTAATTATACATATAATTCTCATATTTTATAAAAATAATATTATTTAATTATACATATAAAATCGTGCATTGCTAGTTTTAAATAAACTTTTAAATATCAATGAATTCTATAATATAAAACAGGACATACTTCAATAAGTCAATTCGAGGGTTTCAAATAAACTCATCTAACGGCTACCAAAATCTCTTAAAACTATTCAAATTACATCGTGCCTTCAGGCACAAACTTTCCTAAATTGGCGCCAATTGAAAAACGTTTGTGTTTCTATGT